GTTTGCTATAGGAAGGGTATAGATAAAAGAGTTTTTTTATGGCATTAGCCGGTAAACGAGCACGGATCACCTGATGGTAAGCAATCGGCGTCGCCCATGGACACTTGGAACACCAGAGGCGTTACAAGTGCGTTACCGGCCTTTTGGGGTTTCAGGAATTGGGGATACTAGGGAAGGGGAGGGTAATTGGGCCTCCGGTAACCTCACTCACACGACGAAACATAACGCAAACGTTGCTTTACGTCGGTTTTCTGTGAGGCCGTGGTATCACTCCGATCGAGCCGGCCCATTCGTGCCGAAGCATGGCTCTCCCACACTTGAATCATTAGTATGGCAAATAACTCATTAACTATTAGTTTGTCAGTAAATAAAACTTGTTACTAAGCACGCATAAATAGTTAATTCACAGTTTTTAACTGAATAACAAGTGTGAATGTCTCGGGCAATAGTTTTATCGGTGGAACAAAGTATAAATTTTCCAGTAACAGGACGGAGTTTGAAATTAATTCTCGTTTACGAATATTACATGCGACTAATAAAAAAATTAAAAGTGGGTATTTAATTGTAGAGTAATCAGAACCTAGGTTTTAGTATACACATGTTTTCGAATCATAATCAGTTTTTATCTACTTTATAGATTAAATCATCATCGTCATCAACAGCCTATAAATGCCCACTGCTGAGCAAAGCCTCTTCTCACACGGAGAAGGTCTTAATCACCACGCTTGCTCAATGCGGGTTGATGATTTCGAAATTATAAGTCCAGGTTTCCTCACAATGTTTTCCTTCACCGCTTGTCAGTGGTGTCTGAATAATCTTAGAAAGTACATATAACTCGGAAAAAGTCACATTGGTACTTGCCGTTAGTAGGATTTTGAACCCGCACCCTCATGCATGAGAAATGTGCGTTTTAAACCTCCGGATCACCATGACACTAGTCGAAATAGATATAAATAGCAAATTGAATTCAGGAAACAATATTATTTTAAAATTAAAATATCAACTCAAGAAACTTAATACTGCCACTCAAGTAACACTCATTATCACAATACAAAATTCGAAAACCAAAAATTGTTTAACATCAGCTGTTACTAAGTTCACCCCTCACCTCATACATACCTCACCCCCTCTCATCCCCTCTACGGAGGGTTGGAAGAGGGTTCAAAATCGGCACCTGTCTCTAATTACACGCGATACTAATCTTTGTATCGCGGCACGTGGATACAGCCTTCGAATAGAAAAAGGAAATAGTAATGCAACCTGTTGCTTAACAAATGTGATATTCTCTAGCTTTGTAGATAGTAAGTTTGTAAGAGGTTTAGGAAACAGTGAATAGAGTTCCCTAAAATTGAAAATGAAGAATCCTTCGACCAGGGGGCTTACTGTTGAATCCAATTCCGATCGATCGACATTGGTATTGTGAAATTTCGTAAAAATAAAAAATACGTCACTAATGATTTAAAATAATCTACCAGACGGACATTAAAATAAAAATTAGGCTCCTACCCTATTTAAGTATATTGTAATTAAACGATTTTAATATTAATTATCTAGTTTTATTGAACAGAACAAATCTACATTACAGCAGTGATGGCGCAGAGAAAAAGTAAAACAAAAACAACCTGTCATCTATCATTATATGGAACGCGTCAATTTCAAATTACTACAACAAAGTACTATTGGTTGTTTAGATTTTCGAAATTTTTAAAACAATATCTATAACAATTTATTTTATGCGTATGAATACTTCACATGGGCCAATATGGCAATTGAAAAAAAAGATGATGTAATTGTTGATTTATTATTCTTTCTTGAAAAAAAAAATACTGTGTAAATCTGAATGAAATTTTCACAGAGTATATTATATAGTTTGGAATAACATATGGGGTCGTCAACGCAGTCGAAGCCACTGGCAGAAGGTAGTAACGAATCGAGTTTCTTGCTCGTTCTTCTCCATTCGAATCTACATTTTGGAATGATGACAAACTATTATTTATTTTGTATTTGTTGACGTTTCAAAAGTACCAAATTATGATTTAACTCGTCGAGTACTGATTTTGTAGACACAATTATAGAACAATAGGTTGCGGTTACCGGTAACCGCTTGGTGTTTGACAGTTTAATTGAAATAAATGCTTTGACTTTGTAAACAAAATATGAATTGTTATTAGTTAGCTTCGAAATATTCGGTGTTTACCTTATAGAAAATATCAGATCACCACAATACAATTTTCATACTGAAATGTAGATTTAAAGTGGTTCGATATTTTCTCAACTTTCGACGTGAAAGTAGCGCGCGCGTTGAAGTCTAATGCAAGGAAACTTTTACTACCTAAGTACATGCAGTTATTATTCGTCATTGTTTTCGAAATGGGCTTGTTTTATTGGTTTTTCTTTCGATTCTTAGGTCTGAAGTTTGAAAATTAAAAATTGGGTCCTTATTTCAGTTGATGGTTGGACAACATGTTATATTTTTTGCCTTGAACGGGTTTTTTAGGTGATGTCAGTGAAACAATGGGATGCAATCAATATTTTCTACAGTATGGTATCTATAAATTCTGACTGAGTTAGAATTAATAGATAGAGCTATGTGGAATTATTTTATATTTGAAATGTGGGAGAGCCATGCTTCGGCACGAATGGGCCGGCTCGACCGGAGTGATACAGAAAACCGAAACCGAAAACCGGCCTCACAGAAAACCGATGTGAAGTTCGTCGTGTGAGTGAGGTTACCGGAGGCCCAATTACCCTTCCCTTGCCCAATCTCTCCAATTCCTGAATCCCCAGCCATCCTCAAACTCCTAATCCCCAAAAGGCCGGTAACGCACTTGTAACGCGTCTCATGTTCCAGGTGTCCATGGGCGCCGCCGATTGCTTACCGGTGATTCGTCTGCTCGTTTACCGGCTTATGCCATAAAAAAAAACCAAATGCTTAATAACTATTATTGTAGATTTGCAGAGACTTTTCCAACTGAATTTGTTATTGAAAATAAAAAATACCTCAAATGAATACAGAGACTTAGTAAGATCAAAATTAAACAATTTATTTACCTACCTTAACTAACAAAAACATGATTATTTTATACCGTAACTTAGTTTAAACTTAATTAAAACAATTATAACTTTAATGTTAGAAGGCTAATGGCACGCTTGAAATAACTTGAAACGGCTTTTTTGTGATATACATTTTTCATGAAAAACTTCATTAAAACTTGATGTCGATCATAAAGCACAAATAATTAATGAGATTAGCACAACCTTACATAATAATAGATAATAATCTATGTACTACTGTTGTCATTTGTGATGTGTCGTCATAATAGGACAGATTACCTTGGTATTGCTATACACACATACATATATACATACGTAACTTCATGCCTGTCTCCCATAGGGGTAGAGACTATGGAACGCCTATTGCTACGAATAAAACATAGTATTGCTATAATAAAATTTATATCTAGATTTGAATAATGTTACCTCACATTCACATTTCCTTCATAGGGGGTTTAATTGCAGCCCAATAATATTTTGCCCGATCCAGGAATCGAACTGGAGATACCTTGTTCAGGAGCCATACTAGCAATCACACGACCAACTAACCACAGGCCACAGGAAGAAATTCCAGTTGGAATATGTGGGGCCTATGTACTCTGTTTTTATATATGTATTGTATCCTCTGTGTTGAATGTGTGTACCTACATAAATAAATAAATAAATAACCAGTCACTGAAAATATCTACTATATTTTATTTGTACTATTCTACCTACCCTTTCGGCGAATAAAATACAGTAAAGAAGTCTAGCCTTAACAAAAATCCAAGCTACAGACAATTTATAGTCCAATTGTTACAGAAATACTGAAAAAACATAAATTATTCGAGCAGACAGACAGACAGACAGAAATAAAAAAAAAACTAGAAACAAAAATGAGCAATGCGAATAATAAATTAGGTTAAAGTTGCATTTGCTTAACTCACTTGTTGGTTTAGTGATTGTAAGCACAACTGTAAAGCACGAGGTCTCAAATTCGAGCCTTGAGTCTTTTTTTTATGGAATAGGAGGCAAACGAGCAGACGGATCACCTGATGGTAAGCAATCAGCGCCGCCCATGGACACCCGCAACACCAGAGGAGTCAACGGTGCATTGCCGGCCTTTTACAAAAGAAGACGCTCTTTTCTGAGTATAGAGTCTAATGATAAAGTAAGTACTTATCTATCATAGGGTTTTTCGATTTTGGATACGTAATGGGTTGCCGGGGCTCCGGGTCTAAGTACAGAAGTAGGAACGGGGTGGTTTTTAGTCAGTAAGAGTCTGACACTCCTTCTCGCCTCACCCGGGCAGGAGTGTCATTCGATGATTTGCCCCCTTCAAAAAAGAGTCATATATAGTTTAGGTAACCTCACGCCTGTCTCTAAAGGGGGTAGGCAGAGACTATGGAATGCCAATTCCTACGATTCTTACTGACATACCTCTTTCGCTCCATCAACTGTCATCAGTCTTGGAACTTTTTGTATAGTTTTTAAAATACCAATATCATAAACTAACAACGATGTCTCTTTTGCGAATAACAAAATAGTGTCTAACAAAGTTCAACCTTTACAAATTCTGAACTAAACTTTACACCTTAAGAGATAAGGTAGATTATCCGTTACGACCTGTCCAGCTACCTATTTATCAATCAATTTTAATCAAGTAGATGAAAGATAAAAACCTTCTTCAACATTTTCAGTACTGACACAGGAAAACATTCGTGAGGATAAATACACACACGAACATCCTTAAAACATTACCTATTGTATTAGTAATGGTTGATGACAAAGCCACGAAAATCCATAGTAATAGCAGTTTTCCGTCCTCCAAATAATATACCAACGTTTTACATAAGGACGGCTTACATAAGGCTGTATTAACATATGTGTGCGTGCGCAGACTAGTCGCGAGTCGCTGCGCCGGAGTCGCTTATGTTCCACTCAATCGCATTTGAGTCGTGGCCGCCGCTGTGAACGGACGTGCGGACGCTAACAGCGTAAAAGAACAGTGCTTGTGAGTGCCTGTGGAACACGAGTGTTAGAAAGTTTGGTTTTAAACAAGATAGTTTTTTGTACGCAAATAAATTTTTAATTTACATTTTCTATATTTTTTTTGTCTAATCTGGAAAAAGCTGGTTTCGTTACGTGAATCTGGTTCGACTGTTTTTCCGATGCAGGTACGTTTTTTTTTATTGTTACTGAATTCCGTTCAGTTTTTTACTTGTTATGAAAGGGTTTTTTAGTGCTTCTACTGGAATATGTCAATAATATCCACCGTTTTTGTGTGTATCGATAAATACCAGGTTAGAATGACTAATAAGGCTTCATAACTTGACTTTTAGTTCGCCGTGAAACGTATGAAATCGTTCAGTTGAAAAACCTTTGAATTGTCAAAAACTAATACGTCTTATGTAAAATTTAATGTAAGACATGTTTTCAGTGTTAGTCTGAAGCCTTGTAAACCTTATTTTACGGCTGAAAACTAATTTGAATTTGAGTGAATTGTGTTTTAAATATCCGAGTAATAACATTCTTATAAGTCACAAAGATACGTCTGATTCATCGCCAAAACTCAAGGTTTTTGATCTTGAAAGTTATTATAATCAAACTTCTTGTATTTAAAGTGTAAGCAGAATAAGAAATGGGACTTAAAATATGTAGGTTGAAGTTGTGACAACTTTACTGAAAGAAAATTATTCTTATAAGAAACGGAAAAAATGTTAAAAGAAAATAATATTTAATGAACTCTTGTACTTAATAGCGATATAAACTGACCATGACAAAGCACTTAGTACACGAAAACCAGATATTAGTTATCTACTATGTACGAATATGAAATGGGTAAAAGATTTCGGCTTTAAATGAAAAGGAGATTACTATTCATTATTAAACCATAATAATATAAAACATAGAATGACTTAAAAAAAAGTCTTAGACAGATAATCAACTCTCGGGTCGGGCAAAGTATTACTCGGTTTGTTCAAAAAAATTCCAGTTATAGCACGGAGTCTGGAAATGTGTTCGGTATATGGCAATAGGCTCTATTACATGGGACCCGTAACATAAATAGTGAAAATTTGGTGTTACATTGTTCAGTGGTACTAAGTGCCGTAATGTGCTCTTCTGCCTACACTTTCAGGGTGAAAAGGCGTGGTATTATGTGATGTTAAACAGATAAAAGGTTCTCAAATTTCTCAGGGAAAGATATATTATTGTACGCTATTTTATAGCCTTTTGTCAGTCATGTTATGCTAATCTAAGTAACATTTTTCTAGACTTCTAGATTATTACTATCAAAATAAAAACATCGTGAGAAATTACTGTGTGATTAAAATTAAGTCTGAATCACTAAGCTGCGTTAAGCTTCTGATGACCTTCTTCGTGTAAAGAAGCGTCTTGCACTAGAACAAACTTATAACATTATATATTCTTTCTTGTCCTATTTTTTATTTAAATGAAATCGGCTTTAAATCGGATCGATCGGCTGAATTTACAATCACTTTTAGAAGAATCATTAGTTAGTTTTTATTGATCTAAGTTTTGCATTTGACTAGTGTCGAAATTTTTAATCAAAATCAACATTTTTACCGATTACTCCAGTTTATATTATTTCTTACAAATCTGTAACGTCTGCCTGATATTTCAATCACAATCGCCATGCAAAATTAAATAGTAACGGAAAAGTAATAAGATTGAATTTAGATCCGAAGATAATCGTACAAATGACAATATTTAGTTTATCAATCTTTTTAAAATACATTTTTGTCTTAGGTAACGTTAGTTCAACGGTTTACGTAACCTTCATAACACTTTTTTAACCGACGGCAAGCGTTTTGTTGCACAAAATGTTTGTTGCTTTGTTGTGGAAGGTTCTGGAAAAAAGTCTGAGCTTTCCTTCATTTAAAATACTGGGTTTTTTTAAGGGGGGAAAATCATCGAATGACTGCTCCCGCCTGGGTGAGGCGGGAGGGAGTGTCAGACTCTTACTGACTAAAAACCACCCCGTTCCTTCTCCTGCACGTCGAGCCGGAGCCACGGTAACCCGTTAGGTTCTCCGCGACAAAATACCGGGTAGATGGTCTTTCTATTCGCTGTTGATATCTATGTCAATTATCTGGTTACAAACCTTAAATCTGAATCTGTTTAAGGTTCAATTTACAACAAACGTTTAAACTAGTATTTGAAATTGATGAAACTTTTTGATAACATGAAAATCAAGTGACTTTTGTTTATAGGATTTTTTACATCAAAACTGCTGAACAAATTCTAATAAGATTTAATAGAGACTCTAAAGAAAATTATGACGACTTCTGAGACCACCACAGCACTTCCAAATAGAAAAGAGTATGCATTAATAAATATCTACAATTGGGTTCTTGCCTTAATCAAAAATAAATGATTTCGACTGTTCAATATAATAAAATGTTTAAAAACATTACATTTTCATGAATTGATTTTATCACTAACTTAATTTTAGTATATTTCTAGCAAAAATTTAAGAAATTAGTATGCTGTATAATACAAAAAAAATTGTGACGTCACAATACATTTTTGACAGATAGAAAAAAGTATTGAATTTGACTAGTTGGCAAGTACCGAATTCTACATTTAAAGCAACTTAATTGATTCCCAACAACTTTATACATATTTCCCATCATCCAAAACATACAAAAATTGACTGACCACAAAACTGGTGATAATCTTACATAAGTTAGTAAGTGAAAACATTTTTTATTCTTATATTTCAAGTGTGGGACCCATTGTCACAGGTTCTAGGTTAAAGTTCTTTGTTTCAAGTTACGTGTCGTTCCCATAGCTTACTGGTATGCTGTGTACTCATAATTGTTTGTTAAAAGCAAAAATGTTCTTTTATAGGTACGGAAATTTGATAATTTTAACATATTTGCAAGTTTTAGTGAGCAATTTGAAGATTGAAGGAGGTTTAAACAAATAGTGTTTTGAATCTTCTATCAATTATGGTATTGATTTAAGTTTTTAGTCGTGGTAAATGGTTAAAATTAGGAAATTTCCTTATTAGTTATTGAAAAGCTAAGCGTTTATTCTGAAAATGTAGAAAAAAACTAGGAAAAAACTTCATGATTAAAATTATGAATCCACTAATGTTACAATCTGAACCAAGTTCAGTTTTACTTAGACAGTTCCTTAGATAGATAGATAATAATACTAATACTGTAAAGAGTAGTAGAAAGCTTTGAAAAAGAATTTTATTATGCACCTACCTATAGAAAAATAATGACATTTGACTTGTCTAAAAAATATTAAGCAAAGATAACTGAAGAGAAATGTTATTTTATGATATACTTTTCCTCTGTTACATTTAGTGTAGTTCGGATAAATAGTCAAATTTTATAATCTTTCTAAGCTTTATACCTAGTCTTATGCCGTTTAATTTGAAGCCTGAAACACTATTTTAACAGACTTCAAAAAAGGAGAAGATATTATGGTCGGCTGATTGTTTTTTTTTTAGATCCAATTTTGATAAAGAATAATAACAAGAGACTGGTACAACATACACTACTGTTATTTCCTTACACATATAATTTATATATATCCACAGACAACAAGCTAAATTGATATACAATATACAATACATAAACATATTATAAATAATGATAATCTATCATTTCTCTGATTGACTACCGAGTGATAGTAGCACCTTTCGACAAGTTTTTTTCAACTAAAAGTATAAAAAAGACGGCAAAAAGTACAATGGACGGTAGCACTTTCTAAAATGATCGGTGACCGGCGCCTGCGCCGACGGCAAACAGCAGATATTGGTAACTAGTTGTTTACATTCATTGAATCGTTTTATACTTGAGTTATTGATATATATTTAGCGATCGGGTTTAATTTTTATAATATAACTAGCGGACCCAACAGACGTTGTCCTGCATATCCACTTGAATGTATAAACAAAAATTCATTCAAATTAGCTCTGCTGTTTTGGATAAATAACCTAAACATCGACTGCAGCGCCATCTGCCGGGCTGATTTGTGAATCTAAACCATTCCCAGATCCCCTTGAACACACACAAAAAATTTCATTAAAATCGGTCCAGTCGTTTGAGAGAAGTTCAGTGACATACACACTCACAGAAGAATTATATATATAAAGATATGTAATTAATTAATTTAATTAATTTAATTATGAGTGTTAAGTTTGGAAATTGAATAATTTGATAATTCGTTGCCTCAATTAGAGATAGTACCTACTCACGAAACTCAAACAATCGTGTGTTCGATAACCACATAGGTTACCCTTTGACTAACGAGACAATCCATTTAATTCTTGCCTCGACTTGCCATTTCATAAGTGCTCTACCTACCTCTCTAATAGCTTAACAAGCATGATGTTATAGTTAAAACTGTAGCTTCAATAACTCCTATTAATATAAAAAAAAACAAAATTAATTCATCTATACAAATTCAATTTAATTTAATCACCAAAGAGTGGGTACTGATACAAAAACCTTCTAGCTGTTTAATTTTTTATACTTATCTAATTAATTATTATGTAATTAAACGATATTTAATTGCTTAATAAGTCTGTTACTTCAAGGATGTTAGGGTTAGATACTTCTAAATGTAATTATCTTTATAATGTTTATTAAGTTGATACACTGCCTCTTTGGTCCAGTAGTCGCCGGGTCGACGCCGAACTAAGGGTATTGGGTTACCAAGTTGTTCAAAGAACTGTTTTTGAGTGTTCATAAATTTAAAAAAATAATAAAAGTGACTCATAATTTATTTATTATTAATGTACATATACAACACAAAGGACAACAAATATATAAAAACAGAGTACATAGGCCCCACATATTCCAACTGGAATTTCTTCCTGTGGGTCTGTGGCAGGAAAAGAAATAAACACCGAGAAACAGTGTGCTACACAAATGAGATAAAAAACAATTAGAAAAAACACCAAAGTAACCATAATTTGACAAGAAAATCCACGTAAGACAATGTTTGCATCATGAGTGAAGCTGCTCGACGCTCAATCCCAGGCCAAAAGCCGGCAATACTAGTAACCTTTCCGATGTCTATAGGCCGTGCCGATAGCTTACCATCAGCTGATCCGTTTACTAGTTTACCGCATAACTATATAAAAATATACTCAATAAGTTGGTACGTCACCCATACCGAATAGTTCGGCTCC